TTATTTGATTATTGTTTCCCTTTAGCTTGAGTCCCTTTAGATTGATTACTTTAGGTTATATATCCTTAGATTTTTACCTCAGATTGATTACTTTAGGTTGTGACCCTCTTAGGTAGTTACCCTTAGATGATATACCACTAGGTTCCCTCTTTCAAACTTAAACCTTTTCATTAAAAAAAAAAACCTTTGACCTCAGGTCATTGACTTTTCAAACCTTTTTTCTTAATAAATGCTTCAAGATATCTTAAGCATATCAAAACCTTTTCATAAGACTAAAACACACGAACCTCATTTAAACCTTTTGCCACTTGGCCTTTTCACTTTTTAAACCTTTTTCTTAAAAGAGGTTAGATATGAGTCATCCTTAATTGAGATATAAATCTCCTACCCCATGACATTGTTGAGAAAGATGTTGATTCTTTTCCACTTGAGAGAGGTATGTGACATACTTGTTGATTCTATATCCGAGTTAGAGCCCTTCTCTCATTGTGAAGCAAAGATCCGTCTTCCACATGTTTATGGTGGATTAGTTGAGTATCCTCCTTAAGATGGCAACCTGTCTCTTCTTCATTAAAATTCGTTATAACAAACTCTTTTCTATTTGTACCCCGAACTACGAGGTTTTGATCCTTTATTGGTACGTAGGCACAAGACTTCATGTCTTGCGAAACACAAAAACAATAAAAAACATTTCTTTCTCATCTCACTAATTAATTTTTAGCAAACACTTTTAACCTAACACAAATAGTTCAAGAGGTTCCTATAGGATACTATAGATACTCAGGGTGCTAGTACCTTCCCTTAGTATAACCAACCCCCGTACCTTAGATCTCTTACTTGCTTAGCTTTTAGTTTTAATTTATGTTTTGCATGTTTACTTGGGTTTATTCGTTCTTTTCCCATTCTCTTGGATAAATAAAAGATCGACGGTGACATATTATGTTTTGTGAGTCTATCTAACTAATAGCTATGGTCTCTGATTCTTTATCACGACAACATGAATTGAGTCGAGTTGCGAGTCTTAATGCATTGCATTTTAGTTGTGTTTGTTGTTATGTTGGATTTGTTGACATGTTGGTTGTAACTGTTTTTGTATGGTTGTATGTTGTGGAATGGGTGTTTGTGCATGAATAATCTAATGCTTGCTTAATTGTCATGCTTTCTTTTATATAATTATGATATCTCACCCCTTATGTTTGAATGTTGCCTTTACATGGGTATCGTACAGATAACTCGCATTGGAGGAGTTGATGTGAGCAGAAAATGAAGTCTTCTGATTTCCTTTTAGTGTCGGTGTCTTCTTTGATGTATAACACAGGGGTCAAGGAACATTGTGTTTTTGATGTGTTGATAGAGATTTTTTGGATATCTCTAGAATTATTGTTGTTTATGTTAATTTTTAAGAAACGATTATGCCATGAATAATTGTTTATGTTGATGATTCCTCTATTTCAACAAAGTTTTGAGATTTCAGACATGTTGAGTTGCTACAATTATTATAAATTGCATGTGTTACATATCTTGTTTTATGAGCAGCTGTAGTATGAATTGTGTGACATTCTGAATATATTTTGGTGAAAATACTCTAATTTATGTTATAATTTTATGGGGTATATTTGGGGTGTTACACGTGATGCAACTAGTTCAGTACTATCACACACACAATATTTTGCAATGTTGTGCATAATTATTTCAGTAGTTGCATGCTTTTGCTCCGTTTTTCACCTGATTTTTCACTAAGTCCAATTTCTTCACACTTAGCTATTTTAAAATCATTATTTGGTCTTTCTTTTTCATTTTAGTTCCTCTTTAACTTGTTTTAATTTGGTTCTTTGACTAAATTCATGCAATGACGGGCTGTCATCAAGGAGCCTCAGTTGTTGTTGAGTTGGAGGATGGGGTAGTAGTCTATCTCAAATTTTGAACCCTAAAAAAAGTAGCAAAAACCATATTTATAGAAACTCGCGCATGTCAGAGAAGCGTACCATCTCATGTGTGTTACATAGCATCGTGATCGCGACGTGACGTTATCGTGCCCACAAAGTCAACATCGCGGCCACGAGAATTCCATTGGCAAAAATCCTTTTTTTTCTTCCTTTTTCTTCAAATTTTCACTAAGTCTCAACTTTCTTCCTCTTGGTTATTTTTTCTCACTTCTTTCACACTTTGGTTTTGTTTTTGTTTATAATTACACCAATTTATCCGATTTTTGCTCATAATATTACGTAATAAGCGATTGTCATCGACCATTAATGATCTTGAGAATGTTTAGGTGAATATTGATTATGAGGACAAATGTCTACTCTTGTTGAGATCATTACCTAAATCCTTTGAGCACTCTATGGATTGCCTTCTTTAAGGTAAACAATGTACTATTACTTTGGATGAAGTTGAAACGACTGTGAGATCTAGTGAATTTTCAAATGTGAAATTTTTCAAGATTAATGATAACAATGAAGACTTGTGTGTCTCAAGAGGAGGAAGTGATCGTAAAGGGAGGTCAAAATCAAATAGGTTTATCAAGTCAAGGGTAAAATTCTTCACTTATCAAAAAATGGTTACTTCACGAGGGATTCCCCTGAGAAGTGTGGAATTGATGATTCTGTTTATATTGCAGTTGTGTCCAGTGAGGATAGTTATGGGAGTGTTGGTGCATTAGTGGGGTCAAGTTTGGAGAGTGAAGAGGTTTAGGTCATGGACTCAAATTACTCTAATCACATATGTCCAATAAAATAATTCTTTGACACTTTGAAGTTGGAGGAAGGTGGAGTAGTTCACCTTGGTGAAAATATGACTTGTAAGGTTCATGATATTGGTACGTTCAAACTTAAAATGTTTAAGGATTGTGAGTTTCTTATTCACAATGTGAGGTATGTTCTAAAGATTAGGATAAATTTGTTATCCATATACAAGTTTGATGATCTGGGATATTGAACTAGAGTTGAACACAAAGTGTTAAAGATTTAGCATGGTGAAGTGATCATAGCTAAATGGTCTAAAATATGTGGTTTATATATTTTAAAAGGTTCAAATGTTGTTGTTCATTAAATATCAACTAGTGAAAACTTTCATGACAAGAACAAGTTGTGTGACTTGAGGTCAAGGCATGGTGGATACCTTAAGGTTGTTTCAAAGCACTTTAATGAGTTTTAAATATAACAAAGGATAGAAATGAATGTGACTATGTGTTGTCATAAAGTTTTCAAAGTAAGGATATGGCAAAAGCAGCTTACCCGGTTGACATGTGTTCATTGACAAGAATAAAGTTCCAAACACTTATAGAGGTTTGGAGTAGGAAAAATATAATCTACTCTATTTTAAAGGTCATTAAAATTTTTCCTATTGTACAAATCAAGCCAATTCAGTTTGATGGAAAAGTTGTGGATTATGTCTTTAATGACTATCCAAGAGGCAGGAAGGGTTATGAACTGTTAGGAGTATAACCTGGAGAATCAAAGTTCATTAATGATAGATGTATTACTTCCAGTGAGTCCTATAAGAGGAATATGAGTAAAGACGTAGGGATAAAACTTTTAGAAACTATGGCAGAGAAGATTCAGTTTGAGGTGGAGGTTCCTAATATACATACTAGTAGCAGTGAGAGAACGATTACAGAGGCCTCGGATTATGATTTAAATCCTAATAAGGTAAATAGAAATATTGTACTATCTCAAATGGACAGTTATGCATGCCTTAGATATTATGCTTTGGATGTACCATAGGGTTGCAAAACTAAAAAATAGGGACCTTGAAGACGACATTCAAAGGCAGGTGAAGTCAAATATGGTTGAAGATCAATACTTGTTAACTTGTTAGACTATTGAAAAGGAAAAAATTGGTTGGGAGAAAGTGGATGCAAGTGTAAATATTAAGGTTCAAGTGAGACTTGAACTTGATAGAATTTTTTTAATAGATGTTGAATTGACCAAGAGTAACAAGATGGTTGATGGGTAAAATTACATCGTCGTGGTTTAAAGTAAAGGTGGAGATTGTTGAAGTATGCCTTAAAAACTTAATTGATGAAGAGAAATGATAGATGTTTCGAGATTGTAGAAATCAGAAATCAGCTTGAAAGTCGACAGTGGTCGATAGAGGAGGGCCGACAGGGAGACGGAACTGATGTGGCAGGTTCGACGGTGAATCTGATGACAGGTCTTTTCGTCGGCGAGTGGCGTAGGTGGAAAGCAATAACAATTAAATCGATTTCAGTGGGAGATTCGGGTCTGTCAGGTATTGGATCTAGTCCAGGAAATTTTTTCGTGCATTGAGCTTGGTTGTTTTAATTTATGGATCAGTTTATTAGTTGGTAGTGGCTTGGTCCTGTTCAGTATCCATTGGGTTTCACCAGTTATAATTATGTACCACTATTATTTTTGTATTGAGAACCTTTAGAACTTTACATCATAAGACAAAGGAAAGAGATGACAATCCTAGTAAGAGAAAACTTAGAGAAACAATGTTTAGAGAAATCTTCGAAAGCATCTAAGGAGATTGAGAAACATTTTTAAAGACCTTGAGCCTGTTTGATTTTTATATAGAGAGTTGGAGATATTGAGAAACATTTGGGTACAAAATATGGTTTGTTCTTAGAAACATGGCTAACTATTTTCTTTTAACTCATTTGTAATTTTTGTTACAACTTGTGGAAGTATAGTGAACCAGAGAATATCTATCTCTCTAGATTAGATCGTTTGATCGAATTAGATAAATAAGTTATTGTGTTTCTTATCTTTTATCTTTTTCTTTCAAATTAAATTACTATCTTATTGCATATAGAATTATTTTTATTAAAATTCATTTATTTTTATTGACGTCGTCGTTCTTTATCTGCACCCATCTAATTTTTTTGTGCCAGATTAAACCTTTCAAATTATAAAAAACTTAATAAACAAACTTATTTCAAACATATAAGTTAAAGGATTCCATATATATTTGGAATTAATTAAAGGTACATATGCTTTTGTATATATAACCTCCATGAACAATTTCTTTTGAACATTCTATTCAATTAATTTCATGCTGAGATTCCATAGTTTCTTTGCCAAATCATTGTTTTTCCCCTGAGAGCTTGGTTCAACCACATTATTATCAGAAAAATATTTTCCACTAATTTCCTTCACTTTAGGGTTCAATGCTACATAGCATGTTGTTGCTGCTCCCTACAAGAAGATAATCAATGTATTTACAAAAATATTCAATGTCCAATGATATTGAATAGATCAAAATATGTTGAAATACCTGCTGGACACTTTTAATTACAAATTCCCCAAGCACATTAAGCATACCTGTATTATTCAGATAGAAAAATAATAATATAACTTTGAAACTTTCATAATCGGAAGGTTTTTTAACTGTTCTGCCCTAAATTGAAAAAATAAATCCCATAATGCCCTACTTTCAAAAATATTTACGAATGTGTCCCATTTTCAAACAAGTTCGTCCAATAATTGGGCGAGCTAGTGCAGAAAGGAATTTAGGGGGTGTAGGTTCGTCCAATGATTGGGCGAGCTTGTGTTGCGCATGTTGGGTTTTGTGTGCTCGTCCACCCAATGGACGAGCGTATGGAGTTCTTTTATTTTATTTTATTTTATTTTAATTATTTTAAAGATTTTAATGTTAAATTTTTTTTAATTTTAATTATTTAAAGATTTTGATAAATATGAAAACTATATAATTAATAAATTATATAATTAATAATTAATGATAATGTTATTAATAATTTTAATTTTAATTATTAAAAGGGTAATGTTAATAACAATTTCAGATTTTAATTATTTAATGATTTACTAAAATGTTAAATAGTTAATTTTAATTATTAAAATGTTATTAACAATTTTAATTTTAAATATTAAAATGTTGACGTAATTTTAAAGAGTCTCGGTCATTGAATGACCGAACTCAAACGTAATTTTTTTTATAAATAAACGTATTATACATCAGTAAATATTATTAACATTAAAATCTTTAAATAATTAAAATCAAAAAAAAAAAACTTCACACGCTCGTCCACTGGGTGGACGAGCCCATAGAGCCCAACATGCGCAACACAAGCTTGCCCAATCATTGGACGAACTTGCACCTCCTAAATTCCTTTCTGCACTAGCTCGCCTATTCATTGGACAAACTTGTTTAAAACTGGAGCACATTCATAAAAAAAATTTAAAAATAAAACATTATAAAATTTATTTTTTCAGTTTGGGGCAGAACAGTGAAAATGCTTAATCCGAATTATGTAACTTTTAAAGCACCTAGAATTATGAAAGAAGTATTTACCTTTTGGGATAGTTTGACCAACCTCGGAACTTACAATATTCGTGAATATGGCTCCTGGATGAAGAGAATTTGCAGTAATATCTACCCCTTCTTCCTGATCCCAATGCAACAATTAATAATAAATATATTAGTTTTTTTATAATTAAAAATAAAATAAAAGAAACTATTAGTTAATGTTGCACTAAAAAATGTCAGAAATGACATACCTTGAGATGTTTTGCAAGTTCATTTGCATGTAAAATGTTAGCAAGTTTAGATTGACCATATGCTTTCCATCTTTGGTAACTGTACACAAAGAAGCTAAATGATGAAATTCTTCTTACAACAGAATGACACGTCTTTTGAAGACATGCAAAAAAGAATATCATATATAGCCCAAAACTTTTTACAGTAATACTGTGGCTATATATATTAGAATATTAATAGTAATTCATATTTATTTAGTTGTACTATTTTCTTAGCACCTAAGTTTGTTAGAGGGTATTTTAGTATTTTATCTTATTCTAGTAACCCTAGTTTTAGCTTATAAATAGGGTGACAATCATTGTAACTTTTATCATGTTTTTGTAGCCGTCATTCTTAATAGAATATTTCCTTTGTTCATCATTTATTCACCTTTGCACCAACAATTGGTATCTAGAGCCCCGGTTCGGATTCATTGCGAAACACGAGTGAACGTGAGGTCTTGTGTGTTTGATTTTGATTCTTAGATTCGTGTTGAATCTTGAACAAAATCTGATCATAATTTTATTCTGTGGGTTGGGAAACACTGTGTGAGAAATCTTAGTGTATTGTGCAAGGTGAAGATGAACGGAAACGGCAACATGAACACCAAGCTTCCAGTATTTGACGGTAAAAACTGGAATCGTTGGATGATCCAAATGCGTGTACTGTTTGGTGCTCAAGATGTTTTAGATCTTGTCACTGATGGTTATGTTCCGGTAGCAGCAAATGCAACGGATGAACAGAAAAACGCGCAGAAGGAAGTAAGAAAGAAGGATCAGAAAGCATTATTCTTTATTCATCAATGTGTTGATGTAAATGTGTTTGAGAAGATTGCAGATTCAACGACAGCAAAGGCTGCGTGGGACACACTGGTTAGATGTTATGGTGGTGACGCATCAGTGAAGAAGGTGAAGCTTCAGTTCTTGAGAAAGCAATATGAGAATCTCAACATGAAGAATAATGAGAAAGTTTCTGAATACATCTCCAGAGTGATTCTGATCATTAATGAGATGAAGGCGTGTGGAGAAACTCTTTCTGAAGAAATAATCATTGAGAAGGTATTGAGATCCCTTACCTCTCAATTTGATTACATTGTGGTAGCAATAGAATATTCCAAAGATCTGAGTACCATGAGAATTGAAGAGCTGCAGAGCAGTTTAGAAGCGCAAGAGTTGCGTTTGACTGAGAGAACTTCTGAAAGGGAAGTAGAGCAGCAGGCTCTGAAAGCAACTTCTGATAGGAGGTATTAGAAGCAGTTAGAAGCCAAGAGAAGATCTGATGGTGGTCAGAAGTCAGAAAGCTCAATCTCTGATAGGCAAAAGAATGCTTAGAAGGGAAAAGAGAAGTATGACAAGAAGAAGATCCAATGTTACTGTTGTAAGAAGTTTGGTCACTTTGCTAGAGATTGTTGGTCAAACAAGGAGAAGAAATCAGAAGAAGCAAATATAGCCAGAAGTTCTGATGACGAATCTGTGCTATTGATGGCCTCTGAATCTGATGATATGGATCTGACAGACTGGTGGTATATGGACACTGGTTGTTCAAATCATCTTACTGGAAACAAGAAATGGCTGGTTGACTTTGACTCTGAAAAGAGGACAAAGATCAGATGTGCTGATGACAAATATCTTAATGCAGAAGGTATGGGAAATGTCAGAGTGACTCTGAACAATGGGAAAACAACATTAATTCAGAACGTGTGGTATGTACCTGGCATCAGAAGCAATCTGGTGAGTGTGGGACAATTAATTGAGAAAGGTTTTTCAGTTACCATGAAGGACAATCTTCTGAAGCTGTATGACTACAATCAGAAGTTGATTATGGAGTCAGAACATGGAAGGAATAGAACATTCAAGGTGAGTGTCAGAACTGCAGACTCAGAATGTCTTAGTGCAACATGTGCTGAGAAGGAGAGTGAGCTGTGGCACAGAAGATTTGGTCATTTGAATTTCAGAAGCCTAAAACATCTGAATTCAAAGAAGCTGGTACATGGAATTCCTGCAATTAAGAAGCCTGAGAAGTCATGCAAAGTTTGCATGGAAGGAAAACAACCACGTTTGCCATTTGCGTCAGAAGTTGCTCCAAGAGCAAAACATGCCTTGAGAGTTGTACATTCTGATGTGTGTGGTCCATTTCCAGTAGCATCAATTGGAGGGAATAAATACTTTGTGTTATTTGTTGATGAATTCACAAGAATGACATGGGTATCCCTTATTAAGTTCAAACACGAGGTGTTTGATGAATTCAAGAAATTCAGAATGAAGGCTGAAAATCAGAGTGGTCAGAAGTTGAAGATTCTTAGAACTGACGGTGGAGGTGAGTATAACTCCAAAGAGTTCCAGAAGTTTTGTGAGGAGAATGGAATTGAGCATGAGGTTACTTCTCCTTATACCCCTCAACACAATGGTCTTGCTGAAAGAAGAAACCGCACTTTGCTTGATATGGTGAGAAGCATGCTAAAGGAGAAGAAGCTTCCTCAGAAGCTCTAGGGAGAAGCTGTTGCCACTGCAACGTATGTACTTAACAGATGTCCTACGAAGAAGTTGAAGGAAATAGTTCCTATGCAGAAGTGGACTGGAGACAAGCAAAGTGTTAGTCATCTGAAGGTGTTTGGTTCTGTTTGTTATAAACATGTTCCAGAAGCTAGAAGACAGAAGCTGGATGATAGAAGCAAAGTGATGATTCTGATAGGGTACCACAGTACAGGTGCATACAAGCTCTATTGTCCAGAAACCAATAAAATTGAATTCAGCAGAGATGTGATTGTGAAGGAATCAGAAGTTTGGAATTGGGATAAGTCTCAATCTGATTCTGATGTTAGAACTTCTGAAGAAAGATCAGAGTTAAGAATTTCTGAAGTTGAAGTAAACTCTGACGTTGATTCTGACTCTGATAGTGATTCTGACTCTGGAGAAGACTCAGAAGATGAAGGTGACTCTGATAATCCAGACTCTGATGGTAATCCAGATTCTGGTGGAAATTCAGACTCTGAAGATGGCCAAGACTCTGAAAATATACCAGATCTTGAAGATGGTCAAAGCTCTAGAGGAAGTCAACCATCTGAAGCTGGAAACTCTGAAGCTCAAGACTCTGAACAAGTTCAGAGACCACAAAGAATCAGAAGCATTCCCAGAAGATTTGCAGAATTTGACATGCTGCAAGACACTGAAGTAGACTCTGAAGGAGAAGTTATTCAGTGTGCCATGTTAGTAGACTCTGAACCTATAAGTACAGAGGAGACTCTTAAGCAGAAGCTCTGGCTGAAGGCCATGAAAGAATAACTTGATGCTATAGAGAGAAACAAGACTTGGAAGCTGACAGAACTTCCAAAAGACAAGAAAGCCATCAGCGTCAGATGGGTTTTCAAGCAGAAGTTAAAGCCAAATGGCTCAATTGGCAAACATAAAGCAAGGTTGGTAGCCAGAGGATTTCTACAAAAACCTGGGCTGGATTACTCTGAAGTGTTTGCACCTGTAGCAAGACATGAAACAATCAGAATGGTGATTGCAATAGCTGCTAACATGAATTGGCCTCTGATGCATTTAGATGTAAAATCTGCATTTCTAAACGGTCCATTAGAAGAAGAAGTTTACGTGTCACAACCTCCTGGATTTGTGAAAAAGAATCATGAAGGGATGGTGTACAGATTATACAAAGCTCTATATGGATTGAAATAAGCGCCCAGAGCTTGGAATCAGAAGATTGATTCATTTTTCAAGAAGCAAGGCTTTCAGAAATGTGAGATGGAGTACGGTGTCTATGTTCAACATACTTCTGAAGGCAATATGACTCTGGTATGTTTATATGTTGATGATATACTACTGACTGGAAGTTCTGAACAGGAGGTAGCCAAGTTCAAGAAGGTTCTAATGAATGAATTTGAAATGACTGATCTAGGCAAAATGACATACTTTCTAGGGATGGAGTTCAGATATTCTGAGAAAGGTATCATTTTGCATCAGCTCAAGTATGAATTAGAACTTCTGAAGAGATTTGATCTGAAGAATTGTAAGATGGCTGTCACACCTTCTGATACAAATCAGAAACTGGATTCAGACTCTGAAGGAAAGGATGTGGACGCTACAACCTTCAAACAGTTGGTTGGTTCTCTGAGGTATCTGTGCAATACCAGACTTGATATTTGCTACTCAGTTGGGATGGTTAGTAGGTTCATGAGTAAACCTAAGTGGTCCCATTACCAAGCTGCTGTCAGGATTCTGAGGTATATCAAAGGAACTCTGAAGTATGGAGTGTTATTTCCCTCTGGAGGAAATAATGAGTCAGAATTTCTGAGTTATTCAGACTCTGATTGGTGTGGAGACAGAGTTGACAGAAGAAGTACATCTGGGTACTTGTTCAAATTTCTGGGAGGTTCCATTTCTTGGTGTTCCAAGACTGATCAATTTCTTAGACTAAGGGATGGAATTGGTGTTACAAGTTTTGATGGAATATGAATTAAGGGATGGTATTAGAATATTAATAGTAATTCATATTTATTTAGTTGTACTATTTTCTTAGCACCTAAGTTTGTTAGAGGGTATTTTAGTATTTTATCTTATTCTAGTAACCCTAGTTTTAGCTTATAAATAGGGTGACAATCATTGTAACTTTTATCATGTTTTTATAGCCGTCATTCTTAATAGAATATTTCCTTTGTTCATCATTTATTCACCTTTGCACCAACAATATAGAGTCTCAAAAAATATTATCACGTTATCTCATGGTTAAACAGAGTTTGATCACTTCAAAAACTCGAGTCGTCTCTGACTCTGACTAGAGACACTACAATAATTAGAACAATATGTAGTTGAGTTACATCTTACCTTGATTCATCATTAATTTTATCAAAAATAATTCCTTCAGGATATATATACTTGTGACCTTCAGATGAAACATTAACAATTCTTCCTTCTTTATTGCTTTCACATGTTGTTTTCTTCATAGTGTCCAACAAAAGATTTGTCAAAAGAAAATGGCCTGGGGAACCAATGATAAATAAGTAAATAAATAATTTTTACTCATAAATAATTTCATATTTGCATATATGAGACACTTTTAACCTACCTAAAAAATTTGTAGCAAATTGTAGTTCAATGTTATCTTTCGACAATGCGAAAACAGGTGCACAAATTCCTGCATTGTTTCTTAGAATCACAATAAAATAGCCAGAAAAATATTACTACTCATGCATTTCCTTGAATAATCATAAGAATATTGCATGCAGTATTATACATTTCTTACATGAGAATGTTCAATGGAAGAGTAGAGGACTTGAAGTCTGATGCAAATTTTCTTACAGATGCCATTGAACTGAGATCTAACTCCATAACATCAACTTTAGCTGTTGGAATCTCCTTAACTATTTCTTCTTTGATATTTTTTCCAGCGATAAGGTTTCTTACTCCCATAATCACATGAACACCACGCAAGGCAAGAACTCGTGCTGTCTCAGTGCCAATACCATTGGTTGTTCCTGTAACAAAAATATGCATTAATAAAAATATTTGGTATTGGACAAATTGTTTAAATATAAGTATTAAAGAAATTATATTTGTAAATATTAATTTAATGTGTTTTGTTTGCTAAAAAAATAGGAGGCTAAATATGTTGTCTAACAGTAAAAATTAGTTAAGGATGGACAGATATTAATAATTAGTTGAGGTTAAATATATTTATGGTTTCTATATGCACTTGAGGTTATGATGTTATACTAGTATGTAGTTTTGATATGACAAAGGAATAAAGTTAGTCTAATAGGGCACGAGTTAAGAATTAAATGTAAAAATAATATTTTGGAAATTATATACTATTAATAAAAATAAAAATTTTAATTTTTTTGATGTTTTCAAAACAAATTTTCTATAAATTTGTTTCTTAACTTGTGACATTAGCTAGGGATGACAATGAGTAGGGTTTGAGTAGAGTATTATAGTATCCGTCTCTATATTTGTAATTAAAAAAATTTCTCGTACCCGAGTTCATATCCACTTGGGTGACAACATTGGCAAGTGTCCGTATCCGTACATGTTACCCGCATTTTTTATAAAACTAAATATATCAAGTATAAAATATCATATTACTTTAAGTTTTTAACAACATTAAAATGTTTTAAAGAAAATTTACTGTTGGATTATGAAATAAAAAATCACTTATATTAAATATGTAGTAGTTTAAAATTGATGTATTTTTAAAAATTGATAGACATTTACTTTTATGTACTAATATAAATTAAAATATATAAATATATATATTGTGCGGGTATGAGACACGATAGGTACTAAGGTGCCAATCCTCACATCCGTTTCCGCTTATTTTAATGAGTAATTACTTGAGCTCCCGCCCCTACCTATTTTTTCGAGATTTTACCCTACCCATTGTGGATATTTTTGTTGGTACCCACAGAAAATGGGTCAAATTGTCATTTCTATCCTTGAGACACAAGTTAGCATTACCCATAAAATTAAAATAATCATGAATATCAATAATGTAAAAGGGATAAAAAAGCAAAACTAAAAAAGTTATAGTGTTAGAGAATAAAAATATTTAAATTATTTAAATACAAAGATCAACACTAAAAGAAATTGTTAAAAGATTATAGAAAATTCATCTATTTTAAAAACCTTTTAAATTTTTTTTGGCCTCGTACTAATTGATTAGGAAATAGTATAAACCAATTAGAAAAGGGAAATCTCACTCTCTAATTGATTATAACTTTCTAATTGATTAAGGTAAAAAAATTTCCCGTAATCAATTAGAAACCTTTTCAATCGATTAAGAAGCGAATATGACTATATTGTATCCATATTTGCTATGTACCAATATGCTTAAATAATTCAGGAGGCCTCATTGTTATATGTACTTGTCTAAATTAAATACTATAATTGTTACATGTATCATTTGCCATTGGGTACTCCCCAGGTTAGTCGTGGAAAAAAAATACTAGGTTGAAAATTATAAAGAATGAAAGGTAATGTTATATGGGGATCATATGGACATGGAAAGACCTTACCGTTCTATTAATCAATTGGATTTGATTAGAAATGTCTTCCTAACTCTGGTTCCCTTTAACTTTTCCCATGGTGGATACATCATAACTACCACCTGAGTTGGCTCGTTTGTTCTACAATTCTCTAACATATTGGACCTTGTTATAAACCATAGGTATTAAAATTTCACCAAGTTATTGGGAAACATCATATGTTATGTCATATGAACCTATGCCCAATAATTTTCTAATGAAAGACAAAGTCATTATGACTACTTTCACAAATGGATTAACTGACACAACCTTACAAGTAGAAGGAAGAGGAAGTTTTTTTGGATTCCCATTATCTATTGAAGTTCATTTAGTCATTTTAGGTGTGATCTTCATTTAGACGATGGTGAATATTGTTCCATGTTGCTAAGGCTCTTTCTAAATTGTAGGTGCATACATAAAGTGTAGTTGTGTCTAGGTGATAACTCAATTTAAGTGATTTATTGAAGTCCTAATTTGCTAAATTATCACTTGTAAATTGGGCGATTAAGAGCATCTTACTTTGTTTAAGTTAGTTTATTATGTAGTGTAGCTAATCCTAATATGTGCTATGTCTTTTAGATTTCATCTATGCTTTTGTGCATGATGAGTCCAAGTGATGTTTGGTGTCACGAATGTATTTGACACCATAGATGATTTGAGTCATGACACCATAGAAATTATTAAATATGAGAAGACTCTATTTGTTGAAGTCATGTGATGAGTTGGCGTGAGTGAATAAGAACAAAAAGATGGATGAAAATAATGAATAATTGGCATGCACGTGCAAATGTACTATCCTAGTAATAAAAAAAAGAATATTACTTGGGCCAATCCAAAATGGATAAAATAAGTTGGCCTTTGTATCAAACATGAGATGGAAATAAAACCCTACATGGAGAGGAGTATTGGAAAAAAATTGGTTTGTCTTATATCCCTTATGTTTTGATGATAATAAAGTATTTTAAGAACAATTTGGTGTACTAATATTTGCTCAAGTGTACAGGACCATAGACTAAAATTTCATATAGAATCCAAGTATTGGTTCTAACTATGAATATCTAAAGAGAAGCTTAAATACAAAAATATGATGGATCAAAAGCTGAAGACCAGACTCTAAAGAAGTCAACTTTTGAAGAGGTTAATGTCTGAAGGTCAAAGTCTGAAGGAGTCAGCCTCTGATGACCAGACTTTGAAGAAGTCTACTTTTGAAGATCAAAACCTGAAGAAATCAAAGTGCAAGGACCAAGGTGACTCTGATAGGTCATTGTTCATATATGAACCTACTTTATCACATGAAGACCTAAAGCTCTATTTTTTCTTAGAGTCTGCTGGAATGCAATTGATAATTTCTTTTGCAGCAAAGAGATTTCAAACTAGCTTACAACAACCCTAACTATTTAGTGAAACATCCCAACATATCTTTTGAAGCTTCTCAAGGACTCTAATGTGTTGCATCTTCAACAACTCTTTTCTTATCCATTTAAAGAGTTGAAGTCTTCAATAAAATCAATCGATTCCATTGACATCAAAAACATAATTTACTCTTTCAAAACAAAAAGCACAAGCAGAACTTAAGATTTCTTATCCTTATATTTTCTAGAAATCTCTAAGTCTCAAAGAATCTAATTGCATTATATTATTTCTACACCTATGATTGTATATCAAATGTATTACCCCGAACAATCATTTATTTTCTAGGTAGATTATTAGAAGTATCTTACTAAGTGTTTGAGCATTTGAAGTCTCTTGTTTGTGTGCTTGAGCATAGAAGTCTCTTGATCGTGTGCTTGAGCATTGTAAGTATCTTGCTTGTGTGTTTAAGCATAAAAGTCTCTTACTTTAGCGTTTGAGCATTGGAAGTCTCTTGCCTGTGGGCTTGAGAAAATTATAATTTTGTGTGATTATAGTCAAAATCTCTTGTAAGTACAAGGGGATTGTGTTACTCTCAAGTTGTGAGAGAAACTAGTATAACTTTGTGTATGACTCTTCTTTCTTGCATTTCATATCCAGTGCCTACCTCTGATTGAATAAGACTTTATAGCTTGTGTTTAGAATCTGACCAAAGAATTAAAAATAAAGAAAAAGTTAACACAATTCAACCCCATTTCTTGTGTTTTTCTCACCTTTAAGGAGGCCAAAAAGTTGGAGAAAGGGATTAATCAGAGGTTGTACCTTATCTATATTCCATTTCTATTATGAAGTTGACACTAAGATACATGACATCAAATATCACCTACAACTGAAATATTGCAAGGAATTATCGTGGATTCTTTAGGTTAATCATTTTTATACCCTTTTTTAAGAATGTATAACACAATTTATGAGTTCTTAGTTATAGCTAAACCCACTATGAGCTAACTCTGTTTTTATTGGATAATGTGAAATTCCATGAACAAATAATCTTTTGGGGGCGATGTAATGTGGTTCTATGTCATATTTAGTTCTTGTATGTTTATGTCATGTGCTTAACCCTAAGCTTAGTCATCTTAGAGTTAAATACTAGTTTATTGAGTTGCGGTAGTGCTTAGTAAAGGGATCTCAAGAAACAATATGGTTAAATAGAGAGCAAACATACATGACTTACTTAACCATTTTAGACATAATAGATCAGGGCCATAGTGGTAAATCTGGAAAGTTTTACTTAAAGTGTAATGGTGTTATTGAAAGCATAGACATAATGTAATCTTATAGTCATGGCATATTCTTATATTGTTGACAAACATCGTAAGGTTTAATCCTGGCCACATATGACATGACATAAAAAATATTAGGTTAAATTACCAAAGGGATCATTGTCCGACAATCTTGAAAAACCTAATTCAAACTTATCTCTTATTACTATTACTTTTTATTATATGTAACCTTTTGGCATGTTATTCAACTTTATTATCTTTTTAGCTCGTGATTTACTTTACTAGTTTGAATGCTAGATGAAAAGTTTAGAACACATGTTTACTTCTAGTTTGGATTATTTACTTTACTAGTTTGGAATTGTGACTCATTTAACTATTTACATGGGCAATGTGAGAGTGTTTCCTCTACTTTGAGATATGTGTTGCCCTAAATTCGACTTGATTTCTTCTATTTCCCGTCGTGCTTAGTTAACTTTATCCTTTTGTTAACAACTTTCACAATCATAGTTCCACCATCTCTTCCATCTTCTATCTTCTGTTAGTGGCACTATTAGCACATAACATGGTCGAAAAAGTCAATTATCCAATTCTACTATATTTTGGCTAAGTCCCGAGTTTTAGCCACCATAGTAGGTTCTAGTAGACTTGAGAAAGATTCAGTTGACTCATATTTGCTTGTATATATGTTCGTTTGACTCACTATTGACTAAGATACTTTTGACTAACCTTAAAATCATTTGTCTATTGATTTTAAATGACATTTTTATAGTGACAACCAAAAACTGTAGGTGTAAATAACACTTACCTAAAATTTTTTATTTATCATTAAAATTTTTATTTGTATATATTAGGGGTGGCAAAATGAATGGATTGGATTGTTAATTGATGAATCAAAGCAATCCATTAACAATCCACTAAACTCTCTTAATAAAAATCAAATTCAATCCATCCATTAAAAGATAAAATTCATTTAATCCATCAATTAACATATTTCTAATAGATGGATATTCATCCATCCAAAAAATAAATTTAAAAATTCTTAATTTAATAAGTGACAACATAATATCCAATGGATTTATAAAATGAGATGGATGAATTGAATCCATCCATATGAGTTAGTGGATGAATTGGATCAAATCTATTAAATTATTTTTTGTCTTAGAAATGGATTGGATGGATAAATTATTGGATGAATTAGATGGATATTATCTAAATAGATTTCATTGCCACCTCTAATATATATAAGCTTAAGTGAGTATTAAGTTAGAGGAAGTGTCAGTGTCATTTTAAATGACCCGAGAGGAGGGGAGGGTAGTGTAATTTTTTTATTTATTTAAACTCTTATTTTTACAATTTTATTATTTTATATATTGTAATATAAAATAAAATAGATATGCAATTAAACACAACAGAAAAGAAGATAACGCTGTCTTTCCACTAATATGTAATAATCTAAAACACTACAAATTAACTTCTACAAAACACTATAAACTGTCAAAATATTATAAATTTGTATAATTAGTTTTCAAACAATTTTGCCTAATCATCCCCAAGAAATAGTCCGTCATACTCTCTGACTTAAATTTATAATCGATAAATTTGATTAATACTTAAACCAACAATATAATTAAAAACAAAGATGAAGATATTCCAATGATAGTAGAAACCTGTGATAATCGCAGTGAGTCCAGTTCCATCGATCCCATGAGTAACCTCTTCGGCAGTTGAAGATAATGAAAAGCCAGAAGCACTCATGATGATTCTGTTTCTCTCTCTGTTGTGAAGTGTGAGTTTAAATAACATAATAACATGTTTGTTTGTACTACTTCTTGTTTATAGAAAAGTGACATTGATCTTTGATTGGTACACGTGTCTGGTTTCTTCTTCTTGGATTATTCACTTCCGTTCGGCTTCTTTTGTTTGCTTTCTTTTTGTCTCTCTACCTCAGCCGGCTGAATACGTATATCATCTTATCTTATGAGTTTAGTTAAATCACCAAATTGAGTTTGTTTATGTAATACATGATCAAGTTTTAGGGTGTATTTGGTTCGGGGTAGATGGAGGGGAGGGGAGGGGAAAATTTTAATTAAATATGTTTGGTTCAAATTTTAGGAGGGGATGAGATGGGAGGGGAGGGGAGCAAAATCCCTCCAAAACACATTTTTTGGTTCCTCCGAATTGGGGGGATTTGGAGGGGAGGGGAGGGGAGCAAAATCCCTCCAAAACACACTTTTTGGTTCCCTCCGAATTGGGGGGATTTGGAGGGGAGGGGAGGGAATATGATTTTTGATATTTAAAAATTATTATATTTACTAAAATATCCTCAGTTTAATTTTATTATTTCAAAACTATTTGTTATCTTTTGTGTTACTGTTTTTTCTCGATTGTTTTCATCAACTTATTATAATTGTTCTCCACCTTCAAATTATTTTATAATTTTTATAATTAATATAAATCATAATCATTATCTTTTTTTTTATAAAAAAAATTATGTTTCGTTATATTCATTTTTTTCTTTTAATTTTGTTATGTACTCTATCATAATTTCTTTTATATCAAATTGTAAACCATATAATTTTATTTATTTTTGTTTATTCATTTTATTAAATATTTTGAACCATTAATATTTAGTAATAAGTTATTTTATATATTATTTTTGTTATATAATTCATCACAATTTAAACGATATTATTGGCATATAGTTTAATTTATGTTGGAAAGTTATAAGTCGAATCGATTGTACTCAATTTTTAAACTTTATGTGACAAATAAATATTTTTTTAATCACTCAATATTAGAAATTTTATTACCAACAAAAATACGCACGAATTTTTCACATTTTAATATCATATGACTTATATAAGATCATAAGGATAAAAATGTAAATTATTAATAAAACCCCTCCCCTCCCCTTCTGAACCAAACACATTTTTAATTAAAATCCCTCCCCTCCCCTCCCCTCCTCTCTTTTGAACCAAACACATATTTGATTAAAAAATTCCTTCACCTCCCCTCCCCTTCATTAAAATCCCTCCCCTCCCCCTCATTTGAACCAAACAGACCCTTAGGAAACATATATAATGTCCCTTAAGAAAGATGCTAATTTATAGTATATTTTAGCTTAATCATAAACAACAATTAAGATTTAACTAAAGTTATCAACTAAAATTATTTATGACTACCATTATATATATATATATATATATATATATATATATATATATATATATATATATATATATATATATATATATATATATATATATATATATATATATATATATATATATATATATATATATATATATATATATATATATATATATATATATATATATATATATATATATATATATATATATATATATATATATATATATATATATATATATATATATATATATATATATATATATATATAAAAGATCAACTTATTCAAAAATATATTTTTCTTAATTAACTATTAAATTTAATTCAATTCAAAGGTTATGATTTAGAATAAATTAAAAAAAATTTACTCTTAATAAGTTGACTCATACTTTATTTATATATATATATATATATATATATATATATATATATATATATATATATATATATATATATATATATATATATATATATATATATATATATATATATATATATATATATATATATATATATATATATATATATATATATATTCGATGTAGCCTATTTTTTATCATTAATTTTGCACTTAGTAATGTATAACTTACATAATAAATTCTATTAAAATAATTACTATTATTTTTCACCTAACTCTTTACTATTAATTTTTATTTAAAATTGTGTTAAATAAAAAATATCATTTATATTTTCAAGTGTTTGCATTAAAAAAACAGATAGACGGACACAATAGTGTAAAGTTAATTGTATATAAAGGCAAAATATGATGTTTTAGTGTAGTTAATTTTTTATCAATTTTACTCTTTAATATATAATTTATGTAATACCTTTCATTGAGATCAATACTATTATCTTTTAAATAATTTTTTATTATTAATTTTTTAAATAACTTTTATTTAAAATTAATAATAAATAAAAAAATTTCAAGTTTAAAATATTCATTTAGTAAACTTTGTAAAATAAGTTTGGGAATAAATTTTTTTTACAATACTCGCATACTCCGTATCTTATCACTTAGGATTAAATTTTTACATGAACAGTAATTACTCGGTAACTTCTATATTTTATTGTTTAAAAAACATAAACTCCCTATTTATAAGTCAATAACCACTTATAAGGAATATAAAGTAATTTTTTGAAATGAAATAAAAAAGTAAACAGAAGAAATAAAGAAAATATGTTACGAAGGAGACTAATGCCATTACCTGTTCATTGATTTATTTTCTAAAATAAAAAATAAAAATATAGCAAAAGAATGATACGAAAATGTATTAAAACAAAAGTGAAATGAAAATAAGTATTTGTTATATGTACTATTTTAACATGACAAATAATTTAAGACTTTAATGGTTATGTATTGACAGTGTAAAATAATTTTACACTATCATTCAATAGAAATATATTTGTTCTGGCCTGCGCCCCGACCTAACTGCGCGGCTCAGTCCAATGATGCACGATAAAGGCCCAATCTGGTTTAAGAAGGTTGGTCGAGTACGTGACTCCTCGACGGGCAGGGCATGCTCCCGTCGAGTAGAACAACGTGCCTCAAGACGTTCTCTGCGCGCTCCCCTCCGCGGGGACGCGCTGCCAACCACTGTCCCTCGTCGGGCAGGATCCCCATGCCAACGAGCAGGACAACATGTCTCCCACACGCCCTCGTGTGCCCCCTCTGCGGGGAGAACAATACACCTTCGGAGAACCTCACGAGCTCCCCTCCGCGGGGAGATCAACGTGCCATTCGAACGTTCTCCACGTGCTCCCCTCCACGGGGACACGTCATCCACCAATTGCCCACCTCCGAAAGAGCAGGTCAACCCACTTTTCGGAGTTCACGGAGCAGTTGAACTAGGGCGAAGACCACGTCCTGGTTTTCACTACGCCACGTAAGTCCTAGCAGTCGCCTGGGTTGGGCCTGGCGATCCAGCCCAACACAAGTGACTGTTGGCCCAGCGCTGGAGTCTCTCTATAAATACCCTATTTCGCAAGAGGGTCGGGTAATTCACATTTTGCCCTTTCTGTACTTTGCTCTCACTCCGTCCAAACCACTTTAGCATCGGAGTGCCTTGCAGGTACACCCCCCCCCCCCACTTTGTCCTCAGCACCGTAGAACAGGCAGAAGCCCAGCAGCGTGTGGCCGTCCCGCGACCTCCTTCTGATCAGGTCAGATCAGTGACACCGTCTGTGGGAAGATAAACTTCCCCGTTCCTCCGAGCAGAGAACCAAAGTTTCACCAACATTTCGCATTCATGGATAGCCCACACCGCGACGATGCCGTTCACGGCCTAGCCCATGTTCCTGCCACGAACAGCGGCAAGCAAACTGGAACCTCCGACTACCCGGAGACTGACATGAGGGACGGGCAGACTGCCTCCCCCTCATCCAACGGAGCTGCCGATCAAACTGCCATACCGACACGGGGCCCGACAGCTTTCCAACCTATCCCCGTCCCGGCAGGAGCGGACCCAACGGTGGCTGCTCTCTTCGCAACCATCAACCAAACGAATCAACTGCTGCATCAACAGAACGAGCGAATTGGCGCGCTCGAACAAGAAGTCCTGTTACGGTCCCCTCCGCGGGTAAACTTGAACGGAGACTCGAGGAGTCCATCTCTACGCCCCAGGGACCGCCGACCGCGTCTCGAGAGGCCCCAACCCGTGGTGTCGAGGCAACGATCCAGGTCACCAAGGAGAGAGAGACGAATCCGGGAGATCCGAATAGCCCGGATAGACCCTCTAGCTGGACACCCGCGAACGGAGCCGCCCGTTAGGCAGCCAAGAGGGCAAAATCAGGTTTCTCGATCGCACGGGCCATCTCCCCCTCGATCCCCCGTACTGAACGACGAGGACGATTACAGAACTCCCCTATCCTGGGAGATCATGCCCGCTCCCATTCCCCACGGGATGGAGAAGCCCCCGGTACTCTCAACGTATGATGGCACTTCCGACCCCGACGACCATTTGGAGGATATCGAGGCCATGCTAGACTATCGCAACGTCCGAGGAGCCATCAAATGCAGACTCTTCCCACCAACGCTGAGGAAAGGTGCCATGACCTGGTACAAGAGCTTAGAGCCAAAGTCTGTCACGTCGTGGAGAGTCCTGAAGGACCTTTTTTCACGACACTTCACCGCATCCAGGCGTCACCCGAAGACGGAGGCCGCACTGGGCGCCATCATCCAGGCCCCCGACGAGCCACTCAGGAAATACATAGAGAGGTTCACCCGGGAAGCGGTACAGGTGACGACATCCGACGAGATGAAACGCTACTTGATGGAGCAGGGCCTACGCTGCGACTCAAAGTTCTACGAGGCCGTGGCCATCCACCGTCCAGGATCGCTCCAAGATTTCCTCGACAGAGCCGCGCACTACATCCGGTTCGAGGAAACTCAAGCAGCCAACTCCGCCCGAGACACGAGGGACAGGGAAACCCCTGCGGGTCCCGCGAGGATGGAGCCTCGAACAACAGACGCGGAGGAGATCGACGGCGGGATGACCGTTCCCGAGAACCCCGGGAACAGCGTGGCTCGGCTGGCCGCTTCACGGAGTACACGACCCTCATCGCTCCCCGCGAGCGCATACTAACCGAGTGTGCCAAAATCGAATTTA